TCCTACAAAATATTCTTTAATATGGTGCAGAGACAGCTGGATGTCCCCAGTTTGGGTCCTGGGGTCTTTGACACACCATTAGCAGCAACTTTGCAGCTACCCGAGGTTGATGACCTAGTGCTAGCTTTAGCATCTTCTTCAACTAATCTCAACGATGAAGATGATGTCCTAAAAGGAAAGGAGAAAAAGGCTGATTTAATGTGGTGAAAGACACACCGGGAAGCTGCATGGGCAGTCAAACCTGCTACAGCAGCTTCCTTTTTCAATAGGGCCTCTGTGATACGGCTAAGACAAATGCAGCAGCAGGTACCAACAGACATTATAAGAGCCCACTTAGACTTTAACAAAGTTATAGCTGCATCAGAATATACGGCAGACGCAGCTTTGAACTCTGTCAAATGCTAGACCTCGTGTGGCTGGAGTGTGTCAGCAGTTCCTGCAAGATGAAGGCATTGATGCTATGGACTTGCCCGTCTGTTCCCCAGACCTGAATCCAATTGAGTACATCTGGGACATCATGTCTTGCTCCATCCACCAATGCCACGTTGCACCACAGACTGTCCAGGAGTTGGGGGATGCTTTAGTCCAGGTGTGGGAGGAGATCCCTCAGGAGACCATCCGCCACCTCATCAGGAGCATGCCCAGGCGTTGTAGGGAGGTCATACAGGCACGTGGAGGCCACACACACTACTGGGCCTCATTTTGACTTGTTTTAAGGACATGACATTAAAGTTGGATCAGCCTGTAGTGTTTTTTTCCACTTTAATTTTGAGTGTAACTCCAAATCCAGACCTCCATGAGTTGCTAAATTTGATTTCCATTGATAATTTTTGTGTGATTTTGTTGTCAGCACATTCAACTATGTAATGAACAAAGTATTTAATAAGAATATTTCATTCATTCAGATCTAGGATGTCTTCTTTTTGTGTTCCTTTTATTTTTTTGAGCAGTGTATTTCTAGCCCAAAGGGGAATCAGACATTGCCCTTATCTCTTCATTTCACCCAGCTTCGAATGGCTTGGCTGAACGAGCTGTTAGATCAGCCAAAGAGGCTTTAGGGAGAATAACCAAGGGGGATTGGCCTACCGGGTTTGCTCAATACCTCCTAATACAACACACTACCCCCAGTTCTGCAACTAACCTATCACCAGCAGAACTACTAAGGGCAGGCGATTGAGGACTAACTTTGACTGTCTACACCCAGCATACACCCCAGTGGCCCCATTAGATTTGAGCAGTAAAATTAGAACTTTTAGTTTAAATGACCTGGTCTATGCTAAGAATTATGTGGAAAACCCATTATGGCTACTGGGGTGGATAGAGGAGGTTACAGGCCCAAAATCTTATAGAATAAGATTGGCTGATGGGAGAATTTGGCAAAGGCATGTTGACCAACTGAGAAGTTGTTGCAGTGTCCCTACAGGTCTGACCCTGGAAGAAGCCGAGGCCAGAGAAAGCAACGCGAATGCCCCAGAGACCAACGAACATGAACTGGAGCTGAATCCCAACAAGCAGTGTCTCAAGGCCGGCCTGCCTTTAGAAGAATCCTTGCCATCTCCTGAAGTGCTCCTGGGTGAAGTTCCAGTGCCGCCCCCAGCAGAGAGCTCCAGTCCTGCAACAGGTCCTCTCCCATCAACTGCTCCGGGCAAACTAAGAAGATCTGGGTGAATCAGGTGATGTTCTGCCTATCTCAGGAACTATGCATGCTCCTAACCAGGGGGAAAGAGTGTAGCATTCAGCTGAAGTCTTCACTCCAGTCCGCTCTTTGAGCGGGAGCCAGGAGCGTCCCTGATTGGCTGATTCCATTTGACAGCTGAGTATAAAAGGAGCTGTCAAATGGAATCAGCTGTTGCCCTGTCAGCCAGCTGCCTGTTAGCGGCAAGCTATGGCAATCTTTAAATTGTGAAATAAAGCCTGTTAGCCTTTACTCTTGCCTCTGTCTCTTATTCCCGTGCATCAAATACAAAACCAACAACAGACAGGACTCCTACAACTGACCTCATATCTTTGGGCACCACCACCTCTGGTGATCACAGAAAATGATGTGCAAGGTCTTAGGGGTGGGATTCAAAAATCCCAGCAACCGCTTCGCTGCCCAGTTGCTGGGTGAGCGTGGCCATGGTGGGCGTGGCCTACCAGTACTTCTAGTAGGGCTGTTTTTTGCCTTCCCAGGGGTCTGTACATTTCCCTCGGGCCTCTGGGAGGGTGAAAATGGCCTCCCCCGCGCTCTGGAGGTCCTCCGGAAGCCAGAAACAGGCCCATTTTTGCAACTTCCTGTATTCTGGTAGGGCCATTTTTTGCCTTCCCAAGGGTCCAGAGGCTTTCCTCTGCCTCTGGGAGAATGAAAATGGCCTCCCCTGGGCTCTGGAGACCCTCCAGAAGCCAGAAACAGGCCCATTTCTGGACTTCCGGAAGGCCCACTTTTTCCCCTCTCAGAGCCTCCGTGCGGACCCTGCACTTACCTGCATCGAAAATGGGCCACATGGAGACTCCAAGGAGGGGAGGGGAGGGATGGGTGGAGTCATCCAGTCAGTTCAAATACCAGTTTGGCAAACCAGATGCAAATTTAACATCCGGTTCGCTTGAACCAGTCCGAACCAGTAGAATACCACCTCTGCAAAGTCTACGTCACAGACAAAAGCCTGGAAAAGCTCCAGGCCAAATAAGATAACTCCTTCTTGCTTGAAAGATTGTGTTAAACAACTAGCCTCCATCTTCACCCGCATCTTTAATAAATCACTAGAGATGTGTTATGTTCCTTCTTGCTTCAAACGCTCTACTATCATCCCAGTGCCAAAGCAACAATTACTGAAGGACCAGTGAGCCCTTTACTTTTGGTACAATATTTTATTCTCTACATGTGGTAAATCAGAATTCTCAATTTTCTTTTCAGGAAGATTTAGGAGACATTGATGTGTTATTAATAAGTGTGGCTGAATGTGCCCTTTTATTCAGATAACTGGGATAGGGTTAAGATGGCTTGCAGGAACTGCTCTGCTGTTTTGTTTTGTTTTGAAGAACTTTGAAGACCAGCAGGTAAAGCTGAAAGCAAAATAGCGACCCAGACAGTTGGTCACATGCTGTAAGTTCAGGACAAGATTTCCCAGAACAGACAAATTCAGCTCAGGAGTTAATAATCAGCATGAAAACCATCTCTATATTTTTTTTAACACACAAAACTCCTTATGGTCCTCCTTTCCCCAAAACTCATTCTTGATTCCATTTTTCATAGCTTAATTTAGAGTACTGTTTCCAATTCTTGGCAATTTTATTGACAGTTCAGCAATATGGAGTGTCAATCCTAAAATTCCACAGCCAATGGCCATTGATGTAAATTTTTGAGAAATTGACAAGATTGAAAACATTGATTTAGCGGTAATAAAACTTTCTGGAGATTGCCAGCAGATGGCACAATTGAGACAATTGTGGAGTGAAAGCCCAGAGATAATTTTACATTGGATTTTTGTACTAGGAGTAGCTCTGAAAGCCTATTAGCTTATTTGCCCAATGGACAGTAAGGCAAGAGCTAAATCAATAGTTCTTCTCTTCCACAGAAACTTCTCGTTCACAATCAGTTAAAACAATGATTTGACAGGTGTATATGAGGATTAAAAAGCTTAAACAAATGCTCCAATCAGTAGGTTTATAGCAGCATTGATGGATATTAGAATTCCTGCCTTCTCACTGTAAGATATCTGTTAAATATTGCTGGGTTCAAAAAGGGCATAATTTGGCAAGCAGCTTGGATTGTGAACAAGAAAGCTTATGTTTTTAACTACATAACTTTTAATTACATACTTTGAATTTAATATATATTTAGTACTTGGAATTTGATAACAGGATTCTTTTTGCTCTTATTATGGCTAAAAGATGATGTTGCAGCACTGGAAAGATAAATGTATAGCCCCTTTCACTCTATGGATTAAAGACCTGATTGCACATAGATAAGATAACCTTTATTTTCACTTTTTCTGTGCACACAATGGCACACATTAAAAATGAAATTTGAATGGCTGCTCTCAAAAGTGTGTGTATGTGTGTATGTATCTTCTATCTATTCTATCTTCTATCTATTCTATTCTATATCTTCTATCTATCTTCTACCTAGATATGTGTGTGTATCTATCTATCTATCTATCTATCTATCTATCTATCTATCTATCTATCTATCTATCTATCTATCTATCTTCTCCCTCTCTCTCTCTCTCTCTTTCTCTCTCTCTCTCTCTCTCTCTGTGTGTGTGTAAAAGTGAAATACCACTCACGCATCATCACAAAATCTTCAGAACCATAAAGCCTACAAACTTGAGATTTGGTACGTATGTTCCTCTTGGCTTCTAGGTGCTCACTAAGAAAGGATTTTTTGAAATGACCATCAGATCATTAGTATTTTGTATATTATTATTATTAACACCCTCTGATGCTAAGGAATGCTACTCCCCCTCCCCACCTGCAAAACACAAGCAGAGGAGAGGAGAGTTTCAGTTTTATTTTTAGTTTCACAGCAGCAAGCGGCTTGAACAAACAGCAAACAGAACAGTTGACCTAAGCCATGCCCAAGCTCCTTGCTGTCTCCTTCTTGCTCACACAGCAAATACTGCTTCAGTTTCCAAACAGCCCTCAACTCTCTCACACACTTACAGGACGCCAGCCAGATGAATACCGATGGATTCTGGTAGGCAGTGGCAGATTTTTTTTCTCATATTTCTCCCCAACAACTAAGCCCGAGTTCCAGGTATACTTGTAAAAGAAGAAACAGACATCCTGCAATCTCTGGAACTTAAAATTACATTGAATGTACTTACTAAGCTTTCATCAGCCTCTGCTGACATCGTCAGAGTATTAAGCTACCATTACAGAGGCCCGGGGCCCGACAACCCATTGAAGGTGCCAGTGGAACAGCTACATGGAGGGTGCTCCCGTATATATCTAAAAGTGCTGCATGCATTCTCCTGGGGCATGGAGTCAAGGTGGTGCACAAACCAGACCAAACTCTAAGAATGAGAGTGATGAGCCCAAAAGAAGCACTACCCAAGGAGGAGACATCTTCGGTGGTTTACCGCATCAACTGTAGTGATTGTGCAAGCAATTACGTAGGGGAAACGGCCAAGCGGCTACAGACCAGGGTACCCGAACATGAACTGGCTGTCTGGCGCAAAGAACAGCACTCTCAGATCTGGGCACATATGCAGGAGCATAATCACACATTCAGCTTTCACGAAGCTGAGGTTGTTGGCCATGATATAACTAAAGGAGGACGCCTTTTAAAAGAAGCCTGGCTTTCCAACAGCAATTCTATCAATAGGCCTATTGAGCTATCACTGGCCTACCAAGCACTGAGACATCAGGAAAGACCCTGCAGGAGGAGCAGAGACCACTTCTCATTGGGGAACACGGACCAATGGCACACACACACACCCATCCCTGGACATGTGGTTTCATCTTATGAAGGCACAGCCAGGCCTGTCGAAATACAGTGGAGCTCAGCAGAGCTGCCTCAAGTTATAACAGACAGGAATAATGAAGAACGAGCCGGGCCAACTACAAGGTCACGAGCAAAGCAACAAACTGCAGTAGCTGGCATGTTAACATCACCTTCTAGAGATAAGCATTCCAGGCTGGGTCCGACATGGGAGAAAGCAACAACAAGAGATAAGCCTTCTTTAATCAACATGACGGAAGCAAAAACAACAGAGCTAATTATGGATAGGAGGCAGCATGTGCAAGGGCTAAATTGATTAATGATATATAAAGGCAAAGATCTCTGTAATGGTAGCTTAATACTCTGACGATGTCAGCAGAGGCTGACGAAAGCTTAGTGAGTACGTTAAATGTAATTTTAAGTTCCGGAGATCGCAGGATGTCTGTTTCTTCTTTTACATACATACATGTGTGTGTAATACACGCACACACATGAATAGAATAGAATAGAATAGAATAGAATAGAATAGAATAGAATAGAATAGAATAGAATAGAATAGAATTATTGGCGAAGTGTGATTGGACACACAAGGAATTTGTTTCTCAGTGTACATACAAGCAACAAGTTATAAATCATGATCATAATCATAATAAGATACATCATCAGAAATCAATAACACTTAGCGATAGTCATAGAATACTAAATAAGCAATACACATAGATCAAACTAGGATATTAAATAAAACAATATAAATCATTAGATACAAGCAACAAAGTTATAGTCATAAGAAAATGAGGAGATAGATAATAGGAAAGATGAGAGCAATAATTCAGCCTTACTAGATAGTTGCCATGGTTGCCAGCCGGCAAGATGGTGATGTTTGGGTCTCTTCCTAGGGAATGTCACTGTTCTCCTTTTCTGAATTGTGAAGTAAGAGGGGAGTATTTTGGCATTACCAAGGACTCCAGATACCATCATCCAGGGGTGGGATTCTACCAGTTCACACCTATTCACTAGAACCAGTTGTTAACATTCTAAGCAGTTTGGAGAACCAGTTGTTAGAAGAAATTACTGGCCTAATCCTGTAAGGAAGGCAGGAAGGAAACATTCTGGTGTTGCTTACAGAAACTGTCTCTCCGTTAACCCTTATTATGTTATTGGCAGGACTAGACTTCCTGTCTCAGGAATGTCTCTGGAGTTTTTTTCTCCTCCTTTGCTGGTACTTTGCTTGTGTGGAGTGACCATTCAAAGTTACAATGGCACTGAAAAAAGTGACTTATGACCATTTTTCAAACTTACGACTGTTGCAGCATCCCCACAGTCATAAGAGGCCAGGCAAGGAGATGCGTGTCTCGATGTGAGTGATATTGAGTTGGCCACACCCAGCCAATAACATGACCACCAAGCCATGTCCACCCAGTAACATGACCACCAAGCCACGCCCACCACCTAAGCCATGCCCACAGAACCGGTTGTTCAAAAATTTGAATCCCACCCCTGCTGTCATCCTTCATTGTTCTGCCTCTGGGTTCTGTCAGGTTGCTGTTCTTGATAGCTGACTCTGTGGCTGTGATGACATTTACAATTGGTCACTGTTCTAGAGTTATTGCAAAATTCAGTCCCTTGGATAACACGTTCTTTTCTGTTTGAGTAAGCTCTCATACACTGAGACTCTGAAGAGAGATCCTATCAGCAGTTATAACAAAAAATTCACTGATTGTCTGCAACAACTACTGAAGGACAATGGCAATGACAAGCCACCATACTACCATCTTTACCCTCGGGGAAGATATTGTGGAATAGCCACATATGGTAATCTAAACATTATTTCATTGGGAAAAATATCACTATCCCTTTGTGGCAAGGTCAAATTCTGGGCAAGGTTAAGGATAAACATTTGATCCATGGCGTAGAGGAATTTGCATTCTATGGAACATGACATCCCATGATTGATTGAAGCACTTTTGCAGTAAACTGAGTACCTTGGTTGCTATCTATAGCTTCCACTATCCCATATATAGGTATTATCTGTTCCAATATAATTTTGGTAACTACTGCTGCAGTGGCTCTCATGTTTAGATAAGCCTCAACCGATCCAGTCAAGTGATCCACTATCACCAATAAATATTCAAATCTCCCCACTTGAGGTAATTTAATAAAATCAACTTAAACGCATTGAAATGCTCTCACGTTAAATGTTGCCCTCCCTTTTCTTTATGTGTAGAACTTGTTTATTAACTCTTTTACTATACATATGTCACATTTTTGTTTAGTTACTGTATACAATCCACAGCATCCATAAGCTTCCAAAAACAAGTCAAATCATACCTTAGTCCC